TTCATGTGGATTCATTCTATTATCGAATATAAGCATTCATTCTATCGAAAATGATTATTCCCATATATTCATGCGGATATACGAAAGACACATGCATAAGAATGTGCCATGCAAACAATAGAGCTTGTTATTAAAAGGGTTTTCTCATGTCGGTCATTTTAACTCAAGCGTTTTCTCCTTTGCTTTCAGCTTGGTGATTTCCTGAATCAGATCCACAAGCTCCAGAGATGTCTGGATGAACAGAAAGAAGCAAACGAAAACTTGGAAATTGAACTCAGGCACTTACAAAATCGGTAATTATTTCACAAAATATGTTGAATTCAAGATGGAGACCTTGGATAAGAAAATCTTTATCTATTTTTTTTTTTCGTATTTTCTTAAACATCAGTAACATTATTTTTTGTTAACTAGAAATATTAATGAAAGAAACACACTCAATCCTTAAATCCATAGGCTGCTTAGCTTTTGTTTTTTGCCCAATAGATGTCGTATATTATAATAAAGGCAATTTAAATATCATTTAAAAAACAACTTTAATTCTAAAAGGTATAAAATTTCTCAAAGGCAATTGTAGAATACATTTTACATAAAGCTGAAAGAATTATAATATCTGCAAGAAAGTTGTAAACCGTATAATTTGCTGGGTCGTTGATAAAGAGAAAGAACCACTGTATTTAAGTAAAAGTAATGATTGTTTAAGTAATTGACAGACTGTGCCTGTGTGGTTTCTATCTACATGGTAGGGGGTGACATGTTGTGTAAAAAATATCTTTTTCACCCCAGAGAAGTAACAACAAACATGGTATAATTCTTGATATAAAGCCAAAGTGGGCAAAGGTGTCAAATATGATTTGTGTCATAAGGAGACTAAAAAGGTAAGCTAAGATTTGCACCCTGATTTATACAAACATTCTCAGAAAAATAGATTGCCTGCGATTAAAACTAAGGAAAAGCAACAAGCACCTCTGGGAAACTAAACTATCTGCGTAAACATTTTGCAGTAAAACCACAGAAAAGCCCACAGCACTGGAAAGTCGTATTCAGGTACCAATGAGGCTGAAATGAAGCTGTGATTTCCCTCTTAGTGGTGTGAACAAGGCACAGAATAAAAACTGTACTTAGAGGACTATTTCCGTAAGGTATTCTGATATAGCATAGTATACTGCTTCATATTTAAGTTTAGTTATCAAGATTAAGAAATTGAAAAGACACTACATAAGCTGACATAGCTAATTCCAAATGAATCCAGCTTGTAAAATTTAATTCAGTTAATGTACCTGTTTTTTCTCATCCCCCATTGATCAGTGGATAATGCTTATTTTTATATGATGAGTTAGCTCTTCTTTTTCTAAAAGGCTTTGTCATTCACTGAGCCTCCCCTTCTATCCCGTTCTGGCCTCTAACATGAAGGATGGTGTGACTAATGAGAAGTGGAGGATGGGGGCGAAGAGGCCGGCCGCTGGCCTTACCCTGGCCCTCGTGTGTGTGCTGCTGAGTACTGACCAGGCCACATGGTAAACGACTGGTCCGTTTCGTCCCTGGGTACTCTTGATAAGCTGGCTCTATCTCTGCTCTTTCTGAACCTCAGTCATCTGCTGTCTCACCCCCGACCAACCAGTTGATGGAGGGACTGACCCAGCCGAGACCTTCGGCGTGGGCCCCGGGATGGGCTGTCAGCCACAGATGAAAGCTGAGTGCAGCTTTGAGAAGCTGGATGTTGGCACCTCCCTCTGCCTGTTTCCTCTGCTTATCTGTGGCTTTGACACGCATGGGTGTGGGGCAGTGAGAGGCATCTGTCTGCCAAGATCCCCAACGCAGGTGGAAAACAAAAGTCTCCCTGCCCTCATTTCTCAATACCTGACTTACTTTCTGTAGCAAGTCTTCATATACAACCCATCTCCAGGCCAAAGCACATAAAGGGGAAATTAAAAACTTCTAGAAAGTCTCCCCTTCCCACAATCCTCAAGCAAAAAGCGGCCTTTGATATTCTCATTATGTCATGTCCTACAGCTTGACTATCGTGATACAAGCAGATGGGGCAGCTCCCTCTACAATCTCAACACAGACTCTTGTTGACAGCTACCATCTACAGGACTGCTGTAAGCAAAGCATCATTCCAGGGGCTTCACATATATTTACTCATTTAATCCTTATAGACTTATGTGATGGGGCCTATCATTATCCTCCTAAACCAAATGAGGAAATCAAGGTACAGTAGGTTAGGTGGACAGGATTGTGGAAGAAAACACTAAAAGATGAATCCTCATGCAGGAATGATTTGCTTCGTGGACATTTGGTTTATACAGGTAACAGTTTATGACTGTCATTGGCTTCAATGATCAACCCTACCAAATGTTGGGAACAAAAATATTGTTTTAGTTATGTCTTGCTGTACAGCAAATTATACCAAAACTTAGCGTGAAAGAACAATGAGTTTTACTCTTCAAGATTCTGTGAGTTGACTGGGCTTGAAAAGTTGGTTCTGTTGTGTGTGATACAGGATGGGTCACTCTAGAGGTTACATCCAAATGGGAGAGTGACTGGGGCTGACATGTCCCAGACAGTCCTACTCAGACGTTTGGATGGGCCAGGATATCTGCATCCCAGGCCTGTTTCTCTATATAGTTAGTTTCTCATCAATCAGTACTGAATCCTGTGCTTCTTACACAGCAACTGGTACCCGAGAGAACACAATTAATTTTAGCTTTACTCTCTGGATTCCTGCTTTTCCTCTTAGTCATTCTCTCTTCGACATAATAGTCATACTAAAACCAAAGACACTACAAAAAAAGAGAAGTATAGGCTAATATCTCTGATGAACATAGATGCAAAAATCCTCAATAAAATATTAGCAAACCAAATTCAGCAATACATTAAAAAGATCAGACACCATAATCAATGCAGGATTTCTGGGATGCAAGGTTGAATATCCATGAATCAATTAATGTGATAAACCACATAAACAAAATGAAGGACAAAAACCATGTGATCATATCAATAGATGTAGAAAAAGGATTTGACAGAATCCAACATCCATTTATGATAAAAACTTTGTGCAAAGTGGGGATAGAGGGTACCTACTTCAACATAATTGACAGACCCACAACTCACATCATATTCAATGGTGAAAAGCTGAAAACTTTTTTTCCAACATCAGGAATAAGACAAAGAAGTATACTTTCACCATGGCTGTTCAACATAGCACTGAAGTCTTAGCCACAGCCATCAGACAAGAAAAAAATAAAGGCACCCAGGTTAGAAAAAAATAAAGAAAAAAATAAAGGCACCCAAGAACCAATAATGTCTTTATTTGCTGATGACATGATACTATATGACAAAATCCTAAAGATTCCACACACAAAAAAACCCTATAAGAATTAATAAACAAATTCAATAAAGTAACAGGATATGAAATTAATATTCACAAATTAGTTGCATTTTTATACACCAATAATGAACTACTAATGAAAGAGAAATTAAGAAAACAATTTCATTCAAAAGAATAAAACACCTAGGACTAAATTTAACCAAAGAAGTAAACCTGTACTTGGAAAATTATAAGACATTAAAGAAAAAATTTGAAGATACTAATAAATGGAAGGATATACCATGCTCATGATCGGAATTAACATCATGATAACATCAATACTACCAAAAGCAATCTATAGATTCAAGGCAATCCCTATCAAAATAACAGTAGTATTTTTCACAGAACTAGAACAAATAATCCTAAAATTCATATGGAACCACAAAAGATCCCAAATAGCCAAAGCAATTTTGAGAAAGAAGAACAAAGTTGGAAGTATTACACTGCCTGATATTAAACTCAACTACAAGGCTATAGTGATCAAAACAGCATGGTACTGGCATAAAACCAGACACATAGATTAATGGAACAGAATAGAGCCCAGAAATAAATCCATGTATATATGGTCAACTAATCTATGACAAAGGAGACAAGAATATACAATGGAATAAAGAAAATCTCTTCAATAAATGGTACTGGGAAAAAGGAAACCATCAACAACAAAAAAAGACAACCTGCTGAATAGGAGAAGATATTTGTCAATGATACATCCGATAAGGGGTTAATATCTACTATATATAAGGAGCTCATACAGATGACCAATAGACATATGAAAAGATGCTCGACGTTGCTAATCATCAAGGAAATGCAATGAGATGCCACCTCACTCCTGTCAGAATGCCTCTCATCTCAATAAATCAATAAACAAGTGTTGGTGAGGATGTAGAGAAAAAGGAACCCTTAGGCACTGTTGGCGAGATTCTAAATATGGAAAAAACATATGCAAATTCCTCAAATAATTTAAAATAGAACTACCACATGACCCAGCAATTCCACTTCTGGGGATTTATCCAAAGAAATCCAAAACACTAATTCAAAAAGATGTACACAGTTCTATGTTCACTGAAACATTACTTCAATAGCCAAAATATAGAAGCAGCTTCCATATCCATCGATAGACAAATGGGTAGGTAGGATAGATATACAATGGACCATTACTCAGTCATGAAAAAGAACAAAATCGTACCATTTGTGACAGCATAGATGGACCTAGAGGATATTATGCTAAGTGAAATAAGTCAGGCAGAGAAAAACAAATACCATTATGATTTCACTTATATATGTAATCTAAAAAAAAAAAAGAACAGAAACAAACTCATAGATACAAAGAACTGATAGTCTCCAAATAAGCATGTGAGTTCACTCCGATGAGGTCCCTAGAGTAGTCACACTCACAGAGACAAGGTAGAAGGGTGGTTGCTAGGAGCTGGAGAGATGGAGGAAATGGGGAGTTATTGTTTAGTGGATACAGTGTTTCTCTTTTGCAAAATGAAGAGCTCTGGAGATGGATGGTGGTGAGGGCTGCACAACAACGTGAATGTACTTAATGCCACTACACTGTGTACCTTAAGACTTGCTTCAAGATGCTAAATTTTGTTATCTTTTGCCACAATAAAACTTTTTTTAAATGGCCATGTTGGCTGTCAATTAGCTTTTTTCTCCCATATCCTGACCATAGAATATTGGGGAAGCCCAGGTCTCTTTTCATTTTAACTCCATTAATTTTATTTTAATCTATTGCTGATTTTCCTGGTAGAACTTTCTTTAAACCTTTGAGAGTTTTATATGAATCTGACCAGAACTCACTACATGTGTGTCCCACTAATCACCTCTGTATTCCTTTGGAGTCAGGTGTCTCTTTTCTTTGTGCTCATCTGGTTGCTATGCATAACACTCAAAATTTTTATATTCTTTGTCTATTTATGAACTGCTATTAAGCCCTGTTTTAAGTCTTGCTTAGTTCTTAATAAGAGGTGTTATAGCCAATTTGATTTTATCTTTTCTTGCAGAAAACTTCTTACTTTGAGACTGCCTTCTGTTTGTTTCCTCTAAAATCTGCTTGAAAATTGAATAATATTTTAGCTTACTTTTCCCTTATAATTGCTTATCATACATCTGACACTTGAACAACATTCTGCCTGGAAATCTTCTTAATTAGATCCACGGGTTTATTACATAGTTATGTGTTCCTTGCTCTCACGGGTGACACTATTGCCAACTCTTGCACCAGTGCCTAACATGAGTCTTTCTCCAGCCTCCAACAACAATTCCGTTGCTGTCACAGTCTCTTCACTGCTTCCGGTGTCTGCTTCTTCATCGTCCCTAAACCACTGCCACCTATTTTAGGGTTTCATCATGGCAGCACCTTACTTCCAGGTACCAATGTATGTTTAAGCAAAATGAATTACTCAAATATTTAATTGTCTAAAACATCTAAAAATTGTTCAGCACAGTTCTGAGGGTCTTCTGGGCTCATCTGGGTGGTTTTTCTGCTTTAAATAAAGGAGGCTGAGGTGACTCTTGCAGCTGCATTCCACAGAGAGATCACAGCAGCCAGAATGTCCAAATCGACCTCACTCACAGTTCTGATACCTCGTCTGGGGTGAGGAATGGCCCTCATTAGCTGGGCTTCTCCCTTGCTCCCTAGAACCATTCAACACACAGCAGTCAATCTTGAGTTTCTTCAGGTAGATGTTGGCTTTCAAAAGGGTTTCTGGGGCTGTCTCACAACGCCCCTTTCTCCAGGGTCTACTGCTCAAAGTAGATCACAAGGCCATCTGTTGTAAGGATGCAAATTCATTCAGGAGAAATTTACCCCATGGATTTATGGAAGAGCCGCATGTACACATGGGGCCATCTTAAGTGTTTGTCGTCATCAGCTATCTTTGCAAACAATAGTAAAACTGTTTGCAAAGTTATTTCACCGCAAGTAAAATAACTTTGATTAGCTTTTACTTATGCCCACATTCCTCCAGCTAGATCGCAGATAGGCTTTGTTTTTTATTCTTTGACTTTGAGGAAGTTATTTATAATAAAACTATATAATATTCCCTCAAAAATTGAATGAAATAATGTATGAGAAACATCTGACAGCAACTGACATTAATAAATATGCAGCAAATATTAGTTTATCTCTCTCTACTTTAAAGATCATTTCGTTCAGAGCATATACACTTAGAGAGTAAATTTTTTGTGCAAAATGGAAAATGCACGTTTAAAGAAATCTTGGAAATGCCTTACATAAAATTTCAAAATTGTAACGGTGTCCTCAAATTCAACTGTTTAAACCTGTATCCTCTTCTTTGGTATCTGTTCTTTCTTTTGAAATATCTTGATGAAATTATTCACATTTCTACTAAGCAATTCTATAATAACTTGGCATCACACACCTAAAATTCTTGTATATTAAACTTAAAAATACCAGAGGCACAATATTGTGATATAAAAATATATACATTAATTAAGCAGTAAACTGTCTGAAATTTTCTGTAAATATTATCTCATTTTAAGGAAAAAATTTAGTTGTAAATACTAGAAAACTCAAAAGAAAATTGAAACCTAAATATCTTTCTTAAATTAGAATTAAAATTCATAGCTACGTTAATGAGGAAACAACGCTATGTTTTAGAAATACCCCCTTTGCATTATTTGTTAAATCAGCCGAGTTCAATATAAACACTTTACAATAGAACTATAGTCACTTTAGCATGGTTTATGCTGAACAACCTAAAGAAGATACTGCAATAGGGAAATTTAATATTTTATTGCAAAGCGCCACAGATTTATGTAAAATGTAAAACAATACATACAGAAAATCGTTTGCCGTCATTTATTCTCGTGCATTCAGTAACGTGTGCCTATCTTATGCCATAGCTCTTATGGAGGTTAGTAAAAATATGTAGAAGAAAGGAGCTGTTAGTCAGTTTTAAATCAGTCTGTTGAAAACACAGTATTGTCCCCACGTCCCAGGAGGAGCTGTCACCCGGGGCTAACTTACACATCTGCACATCTTCCTCCAAAATGCAAAGGCCTCCGTGGCCTGGCTTGGCCCTGGCTTATTGCTCGGAGTGAAAATGTGGCTGTGCTTGGTGTGGGAGACGCGATGACCCCCGAGCTGACCCCTGGGTAGGTGCGCAGCTCCTCACTGGGGCTGTTTTAATACATTCTGTTAACATGATCCATTTGGAAACCATCGCCCATTTTTATTTGTTTCTGTAGTTTTCCATTGGGCCCCTTTTAATTTTTTTTCCTTTGGACTTTTATTACTCAGTTCATTCTAAATGAACATGAGACGTGATGAATTAATCGGGAATGCTCCCTAGTGTGATTTGCGCTCTCATCGTGGAATACCCGCTTTCCAACATTTCTAAATTCCTCGTCTCTATCTTCTGTTCTTAATTCCCTATTTATTATAGTACAACACTCATAATTTAATAAAAAATGAGGATTCGAGGTAAAACTTTTAATCTTTTAATTTTAAGCTCTTTCTCATTCTGCTTAAATGTCATCTTTATGTATTATGGATGCACTGTTTTTCATCCTTTTTGACCTCTTTGAACACAAAAGATATTTACTTTTATTCTGTTTTCCCCTCTCGTTTCTTCCCAATACAACCTCCTTGTTCGTCGGTTCATTGTTTTGGCTCCCTTGGGAGCCGTCGTCTCTTGCTTTACTTCCAGGCCTTGGCTTCTAGTGGGATCGTGGGAGACTTTTTTTTATTTTTCCAGAAGCTCTTGGTTCCCAGAGAGCCTGAGAACGCACCAGTGTCCTGGGAGAGCTGGCCTTCCATGCTCTTTGTCATGGCGGTCCTCAAGGCGTCCCTAAAAGCACTGAGCCAGGCCGTCACCAGAACGTCTTCTCCAGAAAAACAAAATAGTAAAAAGTGACAGGTGGTATCTAGTTCTGTTGCAGCCACACATTTCAGGAGCCTTTAAAAGTGTGACTGCAATTTGGCCTTTTTTTTTTTCTTTCTCCTAATTGTTGTCTGTGGCCAGCAACAGTGGCCTGAGGTGTTCTATTTTTTTCTTGTTTTGAAGCAAAGGTCTCATCAATTAAGTTCAAATTATAATATGATGTCACTTTTCCTTTAGTTACAAAATAAAACTTCTATTGTCTGGTTTCATCCGCATAGGATTATTCTGTCTACTGATGGATGTGCTATTCTGCATCATTTTGGATGTGGTTTTTTTGGCCCCCTCAGTAGCTATTTGAGGATGTTAGTGTCCCTCAGCTGTAACAAACCATGTGGTCGCAGAGGGCCCAGCAATTCCTGCTCCAACAGGGTATTATGGTGGCGATACGGGGAAACTTCTACTGCTGAGTTGCAGGGAGAAAGCTCTGCTCTCAGCCCCATACTCGAGTAGGATCTCTCTCCCCACCATGGAGACCTCAAGGCGAGAAACCAACCAGTGCCATGCCTTTCAATTCAGCAGACGCTCAGGATGTTGAAGGGGCTTTTTGGAATAAGAGCCGCAGTGAGGCACATACAGCTTTCTTTGAGGGACTCGTAGGCGGCCGAGGTAGGACTTGCTATAGGGACCATGGTCCCCCACGAGGTAGGTCTGCACCTCTTCCTGCTGCATTTGTCCTGGTTCTATCGTCATGTGATCTCATCCTGGTTTTCACTCCCATGATTCTGATAGAATTCAAAACACGAGAAGCATCCCCTAGGAGTTGCCCACCTGTGCCCATGATGCTGTATTATTACAGAGACTGGGGGGTTTGGGGACAAGGGGCAGCACAGGGTTGATGCTCAAATTGCCATCTTCCATTTTTTTTTTTTTTTTAGGTTTACTCCTGGGCTCCTTTTATACAGATTATAAATGGGTGTTACTTTAAGTCAATCTGAGAGTTTTGTCTTTTATAAAAGGGTTTAAAATATTAACCAAATGTCATAAATAAAATATTAGTAAGCTTTCTTTTCTGCATTGCTTGTGCATGTTTGATGTTGTCCATTCATTCTGTGTGTTTCTGTGGGGCTTATGCTGTGCGGTGCTGGTTTCATGGCTAACCCCCTACATTTGGTTTAGAAGTTGTATGTAGATTTTGTCTCTACTAAGAGTCATTTCAGTTATTTAAAAAAATCTTGAACCTCTTAATTACATCTGTGTAGTTAAGGTTAAGAATACCATTACATTTTAAACACCTCTCTATGTGAAGAATTGTTCATCTTCATATTTGCTTTTGTTCTTCCTGCCCTTGTAGAAATTACATGAGTAAAAATAATATATAAGCTGGAGATACAAATTCAGTTTTATTTAAGTAAATTTGATTTTAGCCTGACTTTGTTTATATCTGTTATGCTTTAGATTTACATCAATGATTAATCATTTTTTATCTTCGTAAATAGGCAACCAATACCACAATTTCCACATCTTCAGATCCCGAAATTTCAGCTTAGGAAGATTTTAGATGCAGTATTATTTCCTATGTCTTTTTACTTTTCTGTGGTTTTCTTTTTCCACTTTGTGATCATCAATTACTCCTTCAGCAATGCCAATATTTGTTTATCCTGCCTTTTTTTTTCTGTATCAATTATATTCTTTCCAAGCATTTTAAACTCCTACATTGTTCTTCCTCTGAATTATGAGAGAGCTTTTTCAAGTTTGTTAAATTTTTATTGCTGCTACTACTCTGATTCAAGACAATTTTGAAATCTGTCTTTTGAAATCTGGGTTTCTCTTATCTTTCTCTAAGATAGCTTTTTTTCCCCTTTTTTTTCTTTTTTTCATTTTAGTCATTGTTTAAACATAGCCTCTCCTTATAATATCTCATGCCTCCATCATAAAGGCCATTTCTCATTGCATCTTGTAGGAGATGCCCAACAGAATTAAACACGTACACAATTTCAAAATTTAATTTTTCTTTAAATGTTTACTTTATTCTGACTTCCTTTCCTTGTCTCATATTTGTCTTTGATCAAATGTCCTTGCTGTTCATTTTTTTTCTGTAAATTGCTTTGCCGATTTAATTTTTCTTATATGAAAAGATATTCATCAAGTCACCTACATTTTTATAAATTTATTCCCTAAAAATTGTGTAGAATTTAAAATATGCAATCCTGATAGAATAGAAAACACATGACCAGCTCAAACTTATAACAAAAATGACAGTTACCCTGACAATTTACACAGTGACTCATAGAGACCAGGGATGAGGATAAAATTGGTTCCAGCTGTTGCTTTTCAAGCAGCGAGATCTATAACAATTTGGCAGTTAGTCATATTTGAAATGCTCTGACACCTTCCTATTAAAATACCTATTAAACACTGCAAAATCTGGAAATGGTTCA